AACAACTACAGTATGGAGTGATTATAATTCAGGCATAAACAAGCTTTTGCAGGCTCTTGCTAGAAATAAAGGGACACAATTTGTTGCATGCGGACAAAACAGTCCCCTATTCCAAGCCAATTACCGGCCCAGACAAATGCACTGTTTGCGTAGAAAATCTTTTCCTTGGTGTTCTGAAATGTCACCCCGGCTGCCCCAGGACAGAAGAAATCATTTTGTAAAACTGAGACTTCACTGTATACAAGAAAATACTGGCCTTGTGTTTTTCACCCTTAATAGTACATTTCTATAACAGCAGCAAATGGATACTTCACCGGCAAGTTGGGGGAAAGAGATGGAAAGTGTTCTCTGGAAGGACGGCCTTCCTGTCTTAATTTTTATCAAACAGCATCCAGTTTTTAGTTCTACTTGGAGGGAAGATGCTTTTATCAGTTCACTTGGGCTTGAGTCCAAGACTTTGGGAACAAGTCTCTGTTATCGAGGTCACTGGAGAATGACTGACAAGCTCAAGGCCAATGTGTCCACTCCACTTGTTTCCAGGAAGGGAGGACCCCACTGGGTCAGAACTATCACTATCTTCCAGCATGTAGGGAAGGCACAGGTTCAAGACAAGGAATTTGGGAATACAAGTTATTTCTTCTTTTTATTTTTATTTTTTAAAAATATATATTTTTTAAATCCTGAGGCAGAGTCACTATGTTGCCCAGGCTGGTCTTGAACTCCTGGGCTCAAGCAACCCTCCTGCCTCAGCCTCCCAAAGTGCTGGGATTACAGGAGTGAGCCACCATGCCTGGCCCCTAAGCACTATTTCTATCAAGTTGAGAGAAAAACAAATTTGATAGAAAGTTTGTTTCTTTCAACAAACTTGTCCTTTATCTTGCTGTGTACGATGTGCCTTCAGAAACAAGAATACACTCACTAATGGTTGCCTTTTCATGTCTGCAATATAGAGCCCTAGAATTCAAAGCCGCCTAACCAAACAGAGGCAACCAACCCTGACGTACTGAAATACAACACGTGTGGTAACTGGGCTCTCAGGATAAATGCTAAAATCCTTGGGATATCACGCCTGTAATCCCAGCACTTTGGGAGGCTGAGGCGGGCGGATCACAAGGTCAGGAGATTGAGACCATCCTGGCTAACACAGTGAAACCCCATCGCTACTAAAAATACAAAAAATTAGCCAGGCGTGGCAGCGGGCGCCTGTAGTCGCAGCTACTCAGGAGGCTGAGGCAGGAGAATGGCATGAACCCAGGAAGCAGAGCTTGCAGTGAGCTGAGATTGGGCCACTGCACTCCAGCCTGGGTGACAGAGCAAGACTCCATCTCCAAAAAAAAAAGAAAAATCCTTGGGATAAATGCTCTTGGGATAAATGCTAAAATCCTTTGGATAAATACTCTTGGGATAAATGCTAATATCCTTGTCAAGGCCAGCACAGCCCTGCACACTCTGACCCACACCTACTTCCCCAGCCTTGGACTCTCTGGCTTTCTCTGCTCTACCCAGGCTGGTCTTCTTTCAGTCTCGCATGGTTGCTATATAACCCCCAACCACAGGGCCTCTGCACATGCTGTTTGCAGAATGGAATACATTTTCCCCTCTTTTTACGTGGTAAACTTCCATTGCTGTTTCCTCCCTGACACCTCCCCATCCTCTCAAACTACGTGACATTTCTTTTGTACATGTTCTCAAGGTACCTGATCTCTCTTTCACAGGACTTTACATGGTCTTTACACATTTTTTTATTTGCCTGTGTCATTATTTGACGAATAACAATAATAAAAATCCATTTCATTTTAGCTATGCTATTATACACATTTTTGGGTAGTTAGTAGGCCATCATGGCTTATCTAGAATTGATCATCTCTCACCAGACTCAGTGTATTGAGTTTGAGGGAACAAAATAATGTGTTTTCCCTCAGGAAACCACTAAAATCACTCAATGCACATATAATGTAAGCATTCAAACCTATCTTCCCCCAAACATTTTATTTGTAAAGCAGGGATGTGTCCTATACACCTATGCACCTCTTACGTAGCTGAAAATGGTGTTTATTTGTCCCCATAGAAGGAAAGGGGTTTATCTCAGGTAGAAGTAGAGCCAGCAATGTAACTCAAGGTCACAGCCAAGGGCTTTCCATTTGATAAAACTATTCTCTGGGAAGATCTACCCCCAGGGTATTTCATGAAGTCATTAGCACAATCAATTCCATTCGTTAACTATATAGCACCATTCTGCCAATAGAGCCAATCCGGATTCCATCCATCAGCAAGCCTAGTTGACTCAGCCTCCAAAATATATCACCTCTCTGTCTACTCTTTTTTTTTTTTTTTTTTTTTTTTTTTTTGAGACCAAGTCTCGCTCCGTTGCCCAGGCTGCAGTGAGCCAAGATCGTGCCACTGCACTGCAGCCTGGGCAACAGAGCATTACTGATCGTGCAGTGACGCGATCTTGGCTCACTGCCACCTGTGCCACCCAGAGCAATTCTTGTGCCTCAGCCTCCCAAATAGCTGGTTTTAAAGGCATGCACCACCATGCCTGGCTAATTTTTTTGTGTTTTTAGTAGAGATGGGGTTTAACCACATTGGCCAGGCTGGTCTCGAATTCCTGACCTCAAATGATCTGCTTGCCTTGGCTTCCCAAAGTGCTGGGATTACAGGCGTGAGCCACCGTGCCCGGCCCTCTGTCTACTTATTTCATTCACCGTGACTACCATTCCAGTCCAAGTCACCATCAAAATGGTAGGCAGTGAATAAGCACTTTTGAAGAAATGTCTAAGTCTGAATGCAGACAGGGAAGCAGGAATAACTTCATAAGGCAAGGGCTTTTAATTGGGGTCTTGAAGGATTAATCAGAGTTTTCTAGGAGATGAAACAACCTTGCAAAGACTCAGAGTCGTGAAAAGTCTTGGTAGGAACCATGCCATAAACAGGAAAATCAGCACAGAAGCAAACCTAACTGGTTTCCATTGATGAAAGAAAGGAGATGAAGAAAGAAGAGAGAGGGAGAGAAGATAGAGGAAGAGAGAGAGAAAGAAAGGGGAGAAAGAAGAAAGAAAGAAAGAAAAAGAAAGAAAGAAAGAAAGAAAGAAAGAAAGAAAGAAAGAAAGAAAGAAAGAAAGAAAGAAGGAAGGAAGGAAGGAAGGAAGGAAGGAAGGAAGGAAGGAAGGAAGGAAGGAAGGAAGGAAGAGAAAGAAAGAGGGAGGGAGGGAGGAAGGAAGGGAAAGAAAAGAAGAGAGGGAGAGAGGAAGGGAGGGAGGGAGGAAAGAATGAAGGAAAGAAGGAAGGGAGGAAAGGAAGGAAAGAGGAAAGGAAGAAGGAAAGAGAGAGAAAGAAACAAAGAAAGGAAGGAGAGAGAGAGAAAGAAAATAAAGAATGAGAGAGAAACAGAAAGAGAGAGGAAGGAAGGCAGGAAGGAAGGAAAAAAGTAAGAAAAGAGAGAGAGAAAGCAAGCAAGCAAGAAAGCAAGCAAGAAAGCAAGAAAGAGCAAGAGAAAGAAAGCAAGAAAGAGAAAGAAAGCAAGAAAGAAAGGGAGAAAGTTAGAAAGAAAGAAAAGAGAGACGGAGGAAGAAGGAAGGAAAGAAGGAGAGAAGGAAGGAAGGAAAGAAGGAAGGAAGGAAGAAGGGAAGGAAGGAAGGATTGAATTCTGAATCAAACACGATTCAGCGCTCGCCTCTGGGGCCTCCAAAGGTTGATTAACAGCGTGGAGCTAAAACGTAACTTCCTCCCAAAAATGGCTCCTGTTACTTGATATTTCCCACAGTCTCCACCTGTGGGATTTACTGGGAGTCCTGAAACCCAAAGCTTCAATACCATCAAAATGGTAGTAGGTGTTAATACGCGTCTCTTGAAGAAATAAGTCCGCTGAAACAGATGTGAGCTATGAAACTCAAGCGCAGGCGGCTTAATTAGTCTGGAAGATTATTAATCCAGAGTTTTCTCTGTGAGATGAAACAACCCAAAAGAGATCACAGGAGCTTCATGCAAAAGTCTTCTGTGAGGTGAGTCTACGCTTACATAAACATAGAAAATTTCAGCATTATAGAAGCAAACCAGAACTAGTTTCCAACATGAAAGCCGCGATAGAGATGGGCTGGGAAGCTGTAAACAGAGAGAGAGGCGGCGTGGCATGAGGCGAAGCTGGCATGAGTGATGTTACGCGCGTGGTTGCCATGTTGTTGAAAGTTGCTGCTGTTGCTGTTAAAATGGAAAGAAAGAAATAAGCATGATAAGTTGTTGAAAAATGAATAAATAAAGAGATGTGAATGAATACAGGTAGAATGTGGAAATAAATAAAAAAGTAAATAGAAGAATAGAAGACAAACAAATGCGGGAAATGCAGATGTGAGAGAGGGAAAGAGCAGGTGGAGGGAGGCAGGTGGCGAAGGGGTACAGTGCATAAAGAGAGGAGAGAGAGGAAGGAGAGGGAGGAAAGAAAGAATGGCTGAAAGAAGGAAGATAGGTGTGGACAGACAGTTAAAGGAAAGAGAGAGAAAGTGAAATGCAAAGCAAAGAGAAGGATAAGGGAAATAAAGAATGAGAGAGAAACAAGAGAGAGGGAAGCAAGGCAGCTACACAGTAAGTAGCAAAGAGAGAGAGGGTGCGCGCAGCGCAGAAAGCGTTGGGGAAAGAGCAAGAGAGAAAGAAAGCAAGAGTAGAAATAAAGCAAGAAACAGTGTGTGAGAAAGTTATAAGAAAAGAGAGCAAAGAGGTTTGATAAGGTAAAGGCAGCTGAAGTAGGTAGCTGTAAAAGGTATAAAGCGGCTGTAAGAAGTGAAGGGAATAAATAGTAGGCAAATAAAGAAATGTGGAAGGAAAGAAGGAAGGAAAGAAGGAAGGAAGGAAGAAGGGAAGGAAGGAAGGAGGGAAGGAAGGAAGGACGGGAGGGAAAAATAAAAAAGAAAGAATAAGAGAGAAAGAAAGAGAGAGGAGAGAGAAGAAGGAAGGAAGGAAAAAATAGAGAGAAAAAAGAAAGACGAGAGAAAGAAAAGAAACCTCACCTCAAATTTCTGCCGCAGTTCTTCGTTGCCCTCACTTCCTTCTGGTGGCACAGGCACATTGAAGTACTCGCCTTCCTCCTGGCTCAGTAACTTAAACCTGAAGGGAGACAAGGGGGCAGGACAAATTTCATGACTCTATTTGATATTATTTTATTGATCAGGATATGAAAAGGAGGCCTATATAAAACTCTACTTCAAAAAATATATGTTGAGGGTTTTTTGGCTCGTTTTGGTTTGTTTTTCGGTATGTTGGATGGGGGTAGTGTGTGTAGTACACTACCAGGTACACTACACATTTTTGTAACTCTTCCATGAACAGCAGAAAAAAAATGTATATCATGTGTACACAGGAGAGAAAGTTCTCTCTCTCTCTACACACACTTATACAGTTTTCTTAGTTATATCGTTAAATCACTGTATAGTTTTACCTACTTTTTGTCCATTAAGTAGTTTCTTAGTCTGAAAGAATGCTATGAAGATCCCTCATTGTAAATTTCTTGTTGATATTGTTGTCGTTGCTTTTAGAGATAGGGTCTCACTCTGTCACCCAGACTGGAGTGCAATAGTGCAATCATAGCTCACTGATGCCTCGAGCTCCTGGGTTCAAGCGATCCTCCTGCCTCAGCTTCCTGAGTAGCTGGGGATTATAGGCTTGTGCCACTATGCCCAGCTAATTAAAAAAAAAAAAAAAATTTTTTTTTTTTGGGTAGAGATGGGAGCTGGCTATGTTTCCCAGGCTAGTCTTGAACTCCTGACCTCAAGTGATCTTCTCATCCTATCCTCCGAAATTGCAGGGATTACAGATATGGGCTGTCTGTAATCCCAGCTGCAAACCCCACTGCCTGGGTGTGAATACATTCTTGTCATGCTCTTCTAGCATTTCTACCTTTCACCCTACATAGGGTGCCACCTTGCCATCCTGGCACTCGACTGCATTTAAGTGGCCATGGACTTAACTTCATGGTGCTATTTCCTCTGCAGAAATTTGCCCAGAGTGTGCTGTGTAGTCAGTCTCTTGAGAAACGACATCTCTTGGTGGTTAAGTGCACACGTCTGGGAGTCAAACCATGTCTGGATGCAAATCTCATCTCAGAACCTTAGACAGGCTGGTTAGCCTCTCTGGGCCTCTGTGTTTCTCATCTATAAATTGGAATACAAATTCTTTTTTCATAGAATTCTTGTGAAATTGAAAGATAATGACGCATGTAAAATGATAAGCACAGCAGCATTTGGCATTCAGCAAGTGTTCAATTAGTGGCATCATCATGATTATTATTACTGTGACTAATGTCATTATTATTATTTTAGAGAGAGGATCTTGTTCTGTCACCAAGGCTGGAGTGCAGCAGCACAATCACAGCTCACTGCAGCCTTGACCTTCTGGGCTCAAACAGTCCTCCTGCCTCAGCTTTCAACCAGCTGAGACTAAGGCATATGTCACCACACCTGGCTGTTTTTGTTTTTGTTTTTTTTCTCTTTTTTCTTTTTTGGCAGAGATAGGGTCTTGCTATGTTGCTCAGGCCAGTCTTGAACTCCTGGGCTCAAGCAATCCTCCTGCCTCAGTATCCCAAGAAGCTAAGATTACAGGCACACGCCACCATGCTCAGCTACTACTAATATTATAATAATAAACATGGGGGCTTCAGTTTGTTTCTTGGCCACAAAGACTTTTCCAGCTAGTAAGAGGATGAGATGAGTGTGAGGAATGAAAAGGGACATTCTAAAAGCATTTGAATCAGTGGGAAAGAAAAAAGACCCCAAAATTGCTTGCTCTCAAAGATCATTCCTAACCAAAGTTTCAAATTTTCATCACAATGTTTTCTCTCCATTCACGAATCTTCTTAGGCAGCTTCCAAAAATGGGCTAGGTGATTCAAAGCAGACAAGACAATTTGAGCCTCTACGCCTCCACATTTAATATTCCAAATTTTCTTCCAAATTTCCACGGAAATTACCAAAAGAAATACAAACACAAGAGAGCATCTGTATCTTTGCTGGAAATCGAGAAGGGTGCTATCCACACAGCAGGGACTTCCAGGGATTCCTACAAATTAAAGTAATAGAAAGAAAACAGAGCTATGTTGGGTAAATTTTAACTTTATCCATTCAGATGCTACCTTTGTGGATTTTGCTAGATCTGTGTATCCGTGTTGAAATATCTGTTTTGCTTTTTTAATAATAAATTTAATTTTAAAGGACACTTTTTATTTCTTCCTTAGAAGGAAATCCAAAATCACTTGTTACAAATAGAAAATAATTGTTAAAAACAAACAAAACAAAACAAAACAAACAGAAAGATACACAGGTCGTCTCGTGGCTCATGTCTGTCATCCTAGCACTAAGAGAGGCTGAGACAGGAGGATCACCTGAGGCCAGGAGTCCAAGATCAGCCTGGGCAACAGAGCAAAACCCTGTCTTAGCTGGGTATGGTGGCGCACGCCAGTAGTCCCAGCTACTTGAGAGGCTGAGGTAGAAGAATTGCTTGCGTCCAGAAGGTCAAGGCTGCAGTGAGCTTTTATTGCACCACTGTACTCCAGCCTGGGTGACAAAACAAGACCCTGTCTCTCTCAAAAAAAAAAAAAAAAAAGCCAGGCATGGTGGCTTATGCCTATAATCCCAGTACTTTGGGGCCAAGGCAGGCAGATTACCAGGTCAGGAGATCAAGACAATCCTGGCCAACATGGTGAAACCCCGTCTCTACTAAAAATACAAAAAAATTAGGTGGACATGGTGGCACATGCCTGTAGTCCCAGCTACTCGGGAGGCTGAGGCAGGAGAATTGCTCGAACCCGGGAGGCGGAGGTTGCAGTGAGCCGAGACTGCGCCACTGCACTGCAGCCTGGCAACACAGCGAGACTCCATTTCAAAAAAAAAAAAAAAAGGATAAACAAATGGAAATCAAGGTTATGCATGTGCAAGCAGATGGTGTTGCTTACCAAAGGCTCTCAATCTAAAGACTGCCCCGCCCCCTTTTAAATGCGAGATCAGCAAAGAGCAAGTGTTAGAGTGTTAAGGATATACTAGAGCCCGCTGAGATTTTCTCTTTGCCATAATTTGAAGAATTGAAAGAACACTGACCAAAGAATTGTTTTCCTGGGGCACAATTCAATATTATTTATGCCCTGAGTGTGAACCATCTAGAGTATTTGGGGTCTCACACTCGTGAAAATACAGATAAAGGGGAATGGACCAGCTGTCATCCCTAAAAGGTGTTTCAACAGAGCCCAATAATGACCCTGGCTGAGACCATCAGGGACTGGGTGGGGGTCGCCGATTCCCATTCATATGCAGGAAGAGAGATGTCAGCACCTGGAGCAGCGGGCAGGGGAAGGGTGCCACAGCGTGTGTCCATGGTGGCCAGTACACCACAGAGTGAGTGAAGGATGCTGCCACTACTGCTTCCAAATAGGACACATGTGTCCCTTCAGAGCGGAACAGGACCCCTTCTGACTTTGAGATGTATAGAACCAACGTGGAGAAGAAGGCTCTCCATCTGGCATGAAGGTTGCCTGTTATGCACCTGTCTCCACTGTAGCCCTGCCCAAATGTCAGGAATAGGACTCCTGATCTGACAAAACAGAATTCAAACAAACACAAAAGACTCCTGTCTCCCTTTATCCAGGTATGAAAGGTTAGAACAAGGACACTTGTCATTTCTGTGCTCACTCTTCTATAAGTATGGGCAAATAAACACAATAGGATGTGTGAAAAATTTAGTGATTTAAATAGAAAGAAACAATGCAGAATCAAAGCAACTCCCATGAAACAAAACTGCTGCCAAAAGAGAGAACATTCTAGAAACTACCTAATTCATATTTTCAATGAGATTCAAGAGGTTGGTGCATCTGTGAAAAGGGAACAAATATGACAGTGGGAAAGACCACTTTCAGAAAAAAAATATAATCACTGAATTAAAAAATCCATTTGAGACAGTGAACACAGCATGGATAATTCAGGTAACAATTACTCAATGAAAAGAAAAACTTGAGAAATTTTTCTGGCAATTGACTTGATATTTATCATAATAGATTGGAGTTGAATCGAATGCTTTATATACCACTAAGAATGCATATTACAAACATTAATTTACAACATGAAAAGGAGGAATGTTGCAACATACATATGTCAGAAAAGACCTAGACCTATTAATAGTCTTCTCATATAAAAACTTCTTACAAGTCAATAAGAAAAAGGCAAAAGGACATAGTCATATATAAATATAAACAAATGGCAATAGGCAAATGAAAATGTTCAACATAATTTGTAATACAGTACGTGTATAATCTTTGCATCATGTCTTTGAAATTTATAGCACTGGATGTTAATGTTAATAAACTGAAAAGCCTCTTACGAGATTGATAAGACTGTAAATTGATTTTTAAAATTGTAGGACATTTTGACAAACACTTTAATGATACATATATGCTTAAAGGCATCAATTCCTGGCTTAGAAATTTATTAGGAAATTATTAAAGCTGGGCACAAAAGTTTTGCCACAATTACATTTATTGCAGATTATTTTTAGGTGAAAAATGCCAGCTACCAAATAGTATGCACAGTAAGGTTTCACTTTTGTTTCACTCTCTCTATATAGGGTCAATAGTGGTTATGGGCACTGGGAATCTGGACAAAATTCTCTGATTTTTTATATTTTTCTAATAATTATTAAAAAACAATAATGACTAACACTTACTGAGTGCTATTTAGCAGACATTGGGCACCTCATTTATATTAACTAATTTGATATTGCAACAATCCTGTGACATAATTACGACTATTATCTCCACATGAGGAAACACAGCACAGAGAGGCTAAGTAACTTGCCAAGGGTACACAGCTAGGAAGTAGTACAGTAGAAATTCTAACCCAAGAAGTCTGATTCCAAAGCATTAGTTTTTTGTTGTTGTTGTTGTTTTTGTAATAAGACCAAAATGTCATTATTAATAATAACAAAATAAAGTATTCTTAAAAAATGTAATATAACACTGATTTAAGATAATAGTTATCTGTTCAGAAGGAGATGGAATAAAAAAGAATGAAATAGGAAAGAAAAAGAAAACTTTAGAAACAGAAACACCATAAGAAACATGGCAGTTAC